CATCCTCATGCAGATAACGCCTGGAGATGCCCACCTGCTTTCCTTTTCCTTCCTTGGGCCTGTTGTTCTGAGGAAGCCAGGGCTCGCTAAGCAGATTTACAGCATCTGTGTTACTCCATGCCTCACCCCTGTCTGGATTCTCCCTGTATTTCTAAAGAGCAGGACAGACCCTCTGCTCTGAAAGCTGAAACAGCTGCTGTGTGTAGGGTGGGTTGACATGGGTAGTAGCTGGTGTACATATCCTGTTAATCCCAATATGAACTTGAGAAAGCTCAGGGGATGGTCATTTGCTGCTAGCATCTCATCAGGTAGGTGTAACCCATTGTTCTCCTGCTGCTCCTTAGGAAATAAGAGAGTGGGAGTCAAAACAAAACCTATTCCCACCCTCTCTGCTGCTTTCTGCTCAGGGTTCAGTAAAGATACACGATGATGGCTGTCTCTGAGCCACGTGCAGTCTTGTGATTGTGGTTACTTCTCCTTCTCTTGCATGACAGTGTGGTTCCAGTTACAAGCCCATCATTCCTGCCTCTGCAGCATCTCCTTGGCAAAGCAGGTGCCTTGCTGCAGTGAGATGGGGAAAGAGGGCAGGAACTGTGGGATGGCCGGCAAGTAGCAGGGTCCCTTGTGTGGCAGAGGGGGAGAGCTGCAAATGCTCCTGGGGAGCAGGCTCTAATAGGATGCCTTCTCTGTAAGCAGCATGGACCAGCCCCTGCGTTCAGAAACACGGCGCCGCTGGGTATGGACTTGATGAGATTGCCAGATAGTGCTAGGATTCTCCATGCACCATGTTAGTTTGTATGACCTAGAAATCATAATGTGCTGTCATAGGTGGGTGGTCATCTGGTAAGTGTGAATGTGTGCTCACTTTCTGGAAATAGGCGCTGGTGACTGCTTGGAAAAAAAAAAAAAGTCAAGTCTGAAGTAATGACTGAGGATTTCTGACCTTTGCTCTAACATTTCAAATTTGTTTTTATGGCTTCTAATTGGCATTGCTTTGGAGCACGCACATTGTCTAACTGCCAGGGCACTGGCTGTCATTATCTGCTGGGCCATTTGATTTGTGCTTTTTACATTTGAAACCTGTCAGACATTCCCAGAAATATATTGCGCTCCCCTTGTGGTGTCAAATATGGGCCTGGTTAATTGTGCATCCCTGAGAGTGAAGCATTTGAAGTAATCAGACGTTGATTGTTTAGCTGTGATGGCTGCAATGGAAATGAAAGTGTAAAAATTAGATCAGCAGACACATGAGAGCAGCCAGGCTTCTTGGTTTCAGGGGTCAGCCATTTTCCAGCCTTGATGATTCATTTTTGATCCCAGTCACGTGGCTCAGATAACTTCATTTTCTTTTCCTTTTTGCAATTTAAAGACAAATTCTCTTCTATTTTGGACATTTTTAATACACTGCCCGCAAAGTCACTAATTCAAATCTACTGCTCCCCACCTCAACTTGTTTCACTGGATGGGAACATGCGTGCGAAGGAGCTCAAACAGCCGCAGTGGCACAAGTGTGCTTACGGCGGCGGCTCTGTAAAGCTCGGCTCATCTAAAACGTGAGCCTGCTCTGTAAGTCTGCTGCTTCATTTTAAGACCTGTAAGATCTAAGGTTTCCTAACATTTAGAAATCCAGATGCAGCTGTTTTAGATGTGAATATGTACGCTACGTTCGTAGCAGATGTATGTAGGGCTTGTCTTCCTGCAGACAGGCTGAGAGTGCTATAGGAAGCAATATCCCCATTTTGCAGGATGTGAAAAAGAGCATCGCTGTAAACACCGAGATGTTAAACCTCAGTGTGAATTACACATCTGCTGTATTTGGATAGAAGCAATTTTGCTGTTGAAATCAGAGGTTGGCTTTTCTTTTTTTTTCCCCCATGGGGTTCTATAACTCAAAATTGTGTTGAGATCAAGTATGTAGTGGGATTTTTTTCAGCTGTAAAGGTGAATGTATTCAGATTATTCAAGTGGTGATTTTTTGGATGTACAATTAGTTGACTGAGAGATGTGGTATAAATTTGGTATTGTAATTGCTATACCTCTGGGATTTCAATTTGCAAAACAGTTTGCATGGCTGCCAGATTAACTGTTGTATGTGCGGTGAGCATGCAGCAGAGTCGGGATTTGATTGTGGCTGTCTGTCAATGGGCTGTATGTCCAGAATAATCACTTTGTCACAAGTACCTGATGTGAACAGAGTGGCTGATACTTGTGATGCTTCAGTTCAGTGGATCCCTGGGTGGCTAATAAGGCCAGTGTCTAAAATCCCACCTGTAAATGCTGTTGGTTAGACAGGATTTCCTTTTTCTGTGGTACCTAAATGATGGAAAAGAAAGGATGTTTTAGAGATTTTATCTTCTTTTCATGTTTCATATTATATTGTTTCCCTCCCTTGCAGAGGGTAGGATGGGAATGGCGCAGCTCTAGTGGCCTGGCCGAGAGGGCACAGAGACATCTGTGCGTGTGTGTATGGAAGAGCCAGCCTCAGCGAGGCCGGGAGCCGAGCCCTGCCCTGGGAGTGGGCAGGCAGGCTGACAGCGGTGACAGAGACAGTGCTGATGGAGCCCCAGGGCAGGGGACGGAGCGACTGCCTGGCTTTCCGCTGCTTTGCGTGATTTTTCCATTTGGTCCACAGCTGCTGCTGTGTTTGGGTCTCCAGCGCTGTCTAGGAACGTGTCAATGTAATTACACACAGAACCAGAGAAATGGCTTGTTCTCACTTCAGTGTGCCTTTCAGGTCTCCCTCCCAGGGTACCAATTTATTTATTTTTGTCTTGGTGTTTATCTCTGCAAATTTCCACTGTGCCCCAGGTTGGTGACTGAACTGTGGGGCTGCAGGAGATGCTGAACTGGTGGCAGTGGGGTGGGCAGGGCTGGTGGGGGTAAAGCCCTCTAAGCCCTGGGCCCCATCAGCCCCTACATGATTTTAGTTCTTCTATATTTAATTGTATTTAAACTGCATTTGGAAACCTTATTCTGTAACTAAAAGCAAAGCACTGACAAACAGAAGCCTGCGTGGTGGGGAAGGTTGCTTTCCCTGCAGCAGACAGGTTTGGAGGGACCCAGTCCCTCAGGGATGGGTCACGGTGGAGGCATCCAGAAACCTGGGGTTCCAACTCTGCTCTTTTCCATTCTGTTCTTCCCAAGCCTGCTTCATGGCCTTTGTTAAGTCGCTTTTGGTGACATGGCTATGTGAACAGGTAGGTCCTCCCCTTCCTGGCGTTTGTGTCTCAGTATGAATTGGTACAGCACCGACACCAGCTTGGCCTGGGCATCCAGCTGCCGTAGCGAATGCAGGTAACTGTGAGTAGAGGGAGCAGACTGAGTGCTGAAGGAGTACGTCAGGCACAAAGAGAGGACCCTCCCCATTTGTGCTCTGCCATAGCAGTGGGTGGTGAATGAACTAAATCATTAAGGCATAGTGGGTACTGTGGGGTCCAGCAGCTGTCTGAGCGGGCACCCCAACAGCTCCTTGGAGCCCTTGGCTGGTGTGAGCAAGGCTGACAGCATGGTTTGATTTCCTTCCTCAGAATGGCAACAGATAGTCAGGGTTTGCCACTTTTACAAAGGAGAAGCCATCAAAAGGTATACCCCTTGTCATTCAGCCTCTGCTCCAGGCAAGGTCTCTGGGCACAGCAGTGTGAGTTTTGTCACTCCTTTCCCAGGCCTGGCTCTGCCCAGCAGCTACAGAGCAGGGCTGGGGCTGTCTGGGCACTTGTGTCCCTCGTGCTGTGCAGCACAAGTGTGTCGGTACCTGGAGGGAGGAGACACGGAGAAAGTGCTGGCCTGTGAGGTGGAGAATTTTAATTGAGGCCTCTAAGCAAAGAGAGGTTGTAATTAAATAGAATAGAAATTACAGAACCATAGAATGGTTTGGGTTGGAAGGGACCTTAAAGACCATCTAGTTCCAACCCCCCTGCCATGGGCAGGGACACCTTCCACTAGACCAGGTTGCTCCAAGCCTCATCCAGCCTGGCCTTGAAGACACGTTACAGAATTAACTGATAATAAAGGGTAGAGATTTACGTTTCCTTAAAGTAGGAAGCATTCATCTTGCACACTGTAAACACACTCCCAGCAGGACTTTGTCTGGGGAAACAAGCAGTGAGACCTATTGGGAAGCAAGGCCTTCCAAAGTAGGTCTGTCCCCCGGACAAGCTGCGGGAGGCCGGAGAGCTGCTTCTGTGGTGCTGAGTTCTTATCCCGTGAATTCCTGGGGCATCACTGCAAAGGTACTTTGTATTTAGCATAACTGCTGGTTTGGAGGTCAGTAGTTGAACTCCTCCCGCTCTGCTAGGAGTGTTGCCCCAAAGGTGTGCTGGAGATGCAATGCTCCAAACAGCAGTGACAACTGAAGTTGTGCATGACCGTTAGATAACGGGAATTAATGTGCAGGAGAAATAGCCATGTGACATCAGGCTCTTGGAAGACATTGGTCTGGATGCTGGGAGCACTGGAATCATGTCAGGCAACTGGTGCTCCCTGTCCACGCAGCAGGGGTCTGTCACTACAGAGCTGGCCCCAGCTGTGAACATCCCTGGCAGTGGGGGCAATCCACTGGTGAGCAAAGCTGTGAACGCAGCTGCCCTGTGAACAGCATATGCCCCAGAAGGAAATATTCACAGCCATAGGAGGGCTGTTAATGAGCAGAAACAAAGTGAAACACTTGAGGCATGTGGGAGCTGCAGTGAGGAAAAAGCAGTGGTAAGTGCATTACCCGAAGGGAAGAAGGGGGGCCCTTCTCTCGGAGAGCTCAGAGCTAGCACAAAGCCCTTGGAGTCTCCTGGAAGGACTAACGCTGCTCTGGCCAGAGGAGGATGGGACCAGCTGGTCTTTAACCACCTCTAATTTGTCTCGAGCTGCCAAAGCCTTCCTTACAGATGCACTTTACCCTGAGACTTACACGTGGCCTCTCCTCAGAGCACACCCCCCGTGTGGCGTACCTGCTGCTGAAACACCGCAGAGCTTGCAATACCTGTCTCCTCTCTCCCTTCCTTTGGCAGGAAGGAAAAACTGCCGCGTTCTAAATGCAGTACCCAGCGGGGCCAAGGGAACAGCCATGCTGGCGGCAAGCCCGAGAAGAGGAGCCAGGCGCATCTGAAGGACCAGTCTCTCCCCGCGCGATGAGGAGAGGAGGGCCGGGCTGCGGGGTGAAGCGGAGGAGCACGTCGGAGTCTGGAACTGATGATGTTTCTCTTTTTTTTTTTTTCCCAGATGAGTATTCATAAGATAACAAACAGTCCAAGAGAGAAAGAGGGAGAGGGAAATTAGCTAGAAATTTTACTATTGATTCTTTTTATTTATAGATGGCGAATCAATTTCAGGTTTTTTTTAATTTTTTTTTTTTCTTCGTCTCTGGGGAAAAAGAGAGTGACCTGATAGCTTTTCAGCCGCTGAAAATGATTTCTGTAAATCTATTTGTTAAAATGAGAAAGCCTCCCCTTCCTCCAGCAGCTTTGCTCTCTCTCTCTAAAGGGGTAATCCATAGAATGAGCTAACGAGGGAGTCCTGGCTCCCCTGCTGCACCATATGATGTCTCCCCTTTTAGTGTCAGGCTCACAAGCTCTTATGCCAATTGCATGTGCTAGCCCTGTTAGCTTGCATTAAGAGAGCCTGATAAATAGCTTCTGGGAGCCAGGCAGGCGCTCCTCAGTGTGCCGTTCATCATGTGCTGCATGGTTAGGGTTTTTGCTCTTCCACCAGATCATTTGAGGAAAGGGGTCATATGAGAAACGTGACTGTCAGGCCGCAGGTGTGAAACTTGCTGCGAGACCTGCATAAAAGGCAGGAACCATGATCCTCCAGCAAAAACTGGCTGGGGTCTGGAAAGGCTGAACTTCCCAGCAGACGTAGGACTGAGGCAGTGTGAGCTAGGAGTAGTGCTGAAAGGGATGAACAAACCATGTGGGGCCACTAGTGTCAGAATTCCCAAATACAACCTTACCACCTTCCCATTACATTGACAGAATGTGGAATTTCTGCTCAAAGCCACCGTAAGTCTTGTCTCCTATGTTGTGTGACTACCTGAAGCATCTGCCAGTGATGTGGATTTGAAGCACGAGGCCAATGGTTCTCAATCTGGAGAGTAAAAGTGAGTGACCCTGAGAGGAGTCCAAGTGTCTCCCAGGGGATGGGGATAGTGCACTTAGAAGTGCCTCTTGACAACTCTTGGGAATTAGCTTCTCTTCACTGTCTTCTCCTAGGAGTTGGGCTGCTATGGTGGCTTGGAGGAGAGAGAGTGTCAAGACCTAGTAGGTAGAGAGGGAAATGATAAACCAGACTGAGGGTGAAAAAAGATGTGTGAAACAACAGAATGAGCTCCTCCTGGTGTGGGGTGGTCCTGGAGAAGCAGTAGCCCCAGATACTCTGTTCTGCAGTGAAAGAGCTGAGTTGGTCGCTCCTCTCCCCTTGACTTGAGCGCCATGATCTAGGAACAGAGACTCAGCGGGATCCTTGCACTGACCTCTGTGTGTGAGAAGAATGTATCCTGGGGATAGATGAAAAGGTATGAGAAAAACTGAAAATTACAGATTCAAATAGACCTTCCAGGTAACTTAAATTTACTGTCCTTTCTGAAAGTACTCCCTGATTCTTCAGCAGTGGAGAGCAAGGCCTGGGTGTGACCAACCCTGAACCAAGGTGTGTTCCTAGGAAGAACTGAAAGCATCTTGGACTGCATTCGTGCAGCCAGGAAGCTAGAAGGCTCTCATATGTGCTCATCCATCTTTTGAGTTTGGTTCAGTAGCTGTATCTCCATGATAGGAGGGAGATCGGTGTAAGGACCTTGAACTCCTTTCCATACAGGGGAACACAAGCAGGGTCAATGCTGAGGTCTGCATCCCCTGTCTCAGGACCTCATGCACTTCTGGAGCCCCATCACAAGACCCAGACCTCCTGGGAGCCGCTGGTATGTGGTTTCCATCCAGTCAGCATTGCTGCAGCCAGAAAGAGTGAGCAGGTCCAAGTCAGGACAAGAATTTGGCTTTGCATGCCTCTGAAAAGGGACAAGCTACTCAGGGTCTGACAAAACTTGAGCTGATTGTGTCTGTGCGATACCCACCCGTTAGCTGGGCTTTCCTTAGTTAGTTAGTTTGTATCTGATAAGAGGAACTTGGTTGAGAACAAGAAAGTGATATTCCACTGGAAGGAAAATTAGTTACAACACCAAGAAAACCTGATATTGTCAGCATTTCAAGGTGAGGGGGTTAAACTGTGCATGGTTTTAGGGAGAATAAGATGCTTTCATAGGATGAATTCCAAGGCATCCAAAAGGCACAGTGCTGGCTTTCTGTCTCCAAAAGCAGAGTAATGAATAGCAATGACAGTGTGATAATTAGAATGACTTGTTGGAGATATGGATTAGAAGGTACGCAGAGAGGGGATGAGTTCTCCTTTGAATTAATCTAGAGCTAATTTATGACTATCATTGGGTTTTAGTGGAAGACTTTCAAAGTTGGTTTACTGGGGTGATAATATTCCTTCTGCATATTCATTAGAAAAACACTTGTAGAATTCCTCATTATTTCTTCTTGAATGATCCTATATATGCATATATATATATATATAATGAGAGAGTTTCAGGTATTTGCTTAGCTGCTAAAGAGTCTACTCCAGAAATACGAATAAAGTGATAAAAGCAGCTGTGGAATGAGTGTGTTGTTTCATTTTCATTCCCTCCTTCTCACAGGCCCCTGGAGACACTTCAGAACCAAGCTGTGGACAAGCAGGTTCTGGGAAGCCCTTGTGCTGCCCTGCTGTCACATCTCGGAGGCTCCCGTGACCTGACTTGTAAAAGCTGGTCTTTCAGTTCAGGTTTAATAACTGGATCTTCCTGGAAATCACTGTCTCTGATTCTTACTCGTCTCCTACCACCTATATCTGCCCCACAGCCTCCAATTTCCAGGTCTTATATCTACCTAACATAGGCTGCTTATCTCTGCAGAGACACTTCCTTTCTGCTGAGATATCCCAAGCTTTTAGTTGGATAGAAAGGACAGATTGGAGACAGTTACCCATATGGGAAACGATGACATCCCATTTGTCAACTCCCATGCCGGTAACCTTCTTCCCATCCTCTCCACCTGCCCAGCAATACCACAGCATCCAAACATAAAGTTATTTGCCAAGAGCATCTGCCTTGCTCCTCCATCGGGCAGCATGCCTGTTCTGGAGCCCACCCTCCCCATCCTTGTTCCAGCACATCATGCTCAAACTCTTTGCTCTTGCTGCCCATTTCACCACTGTCTTGGTTTGTCTCTGGCACCTTCTGGGCCATCCCCAGCTGCCCCTACACATTTTTTCCACCCTGAGATACTCATCATGTCTCCTCTGAAACAGTAGGCAGATTGACTCCATAGCGCTTTCTGCAGAGACCCACCTCTGTGTTTGGGGCTCCCCCGTAAGCCACATTTCTCAAAAGCTCTCCCTGACCAGCTGGAGATGGGAGCCTGAGCCTTTCACTGTGGGGTCTGCACTAGCTTGCAGGACGAGGGCGTGCACTTCAGCGTACAGAGTGCGCGATGCGTGCACCCCATTTCACCAGTTCTTGGGCAGATGATCGTGGGAGCAGAACTTTTTTCTCATGGTCTGTAATTCTCTTTCCTCTCACGTGAGTGCTGAAGTTCTCCTCCACCTGAGCGGGCACGTCCTGCTTCAGAGCCTGCTTCTGCCCTGCCATGAGCCGCCCCTTCCTGGAGAAGATGAGCCATGTCTTGGACGTAAGTAGTGCATGTTGTATACTCAACATAACTCTACGAGTCACTTGTGTCAGGTCCAAGTTAAGGCACCACCAGGGATTTTGAAAGATTCAGAAGCCAATGTGTGTCCAAAAGTGGGCATCTAGCTTGACAGAGCTATATCTACTCTTAAGAGCAAAGGCAGAAGTGGAGGGAGGGCTCTTCTCGTGGGAAGACCAGAACCCTGTTGCATTGCCCTGCCTCATTTTCATGCCCTGCCTGGGGAGCTGGAGGGCCCTCCCTGGGAGCAGCAGTATTTACCTTCCTTTGTACAGGACCGGGCAGTGAATATTAAAATGCCAAAATTAACTTGTTTTCTGTGCATTCTGCTCTCCTGACAAGAAAATCCTGCTACAAACCCCTGTGCAGGCAGTCTAACTGTGCTGAATTGGACCCTCGCTGTGAGGGGATTATATATTCTGATTGGGACTGCGTTTGCAATTATTTTCTCTGCCACACCAAAGACCTTTACTGCAGAGCTGCAAACCAGTTACAGGAACATGAAATGCTTTGACTTCTTCACTAGGGAAACATTAATCCAATCACAGGTTATGTCCATTACAGACTATGGCGATATTGTATACAGGAATTCCCGGGAGAAGGTTCTACAAAAATTGGAATCTCTCTATAACCATGTTATGAGATTTACTGGTGTGGATAAAATGGGCAGAGTTAAAATTACCAGGCTGGCTATCTCTAAAAGACAGGTGAAGTCTGCTGGCTATCATTGCTTCATAATATTACAAATGGAAAAGCCCTGAAGTAATTGAATAACACATCTGCTGAAAAAACCTTGTGAACTGCTACAGCCTAAAGATAGACTGCAAGGAAACAATGTGTGTACAGCACCTGGTTCAAAGGAAAAAGGTGCTTTCCTTACCTGGTACAGGAAGATATCACAAATGCAGATAGAGATTTTCTCTTTGCCTCCTAGATTACACGTGTGTGTGCGTTTCTGTCCATCCACCTCTTTTCATATAAAAATAAGTTAAACCAGTTTCCTCAGCAGCCGGAGGCGTGGTGCTGGATGGTAAGGATTCGTAGCAGAGCTCACTGTGTTTCCTTTTGTAGTGGAGGTTGCTAAAAACATTTGAGGTGACTTGCAAAGGACCTGATTTCTACCCCCTTTAACGTCTCTCTGTCCTTGTGCACAAAAACATTCAAAGCACTTTGCCGAAGTTGATTAAGGTTTTCCCTGTGCTTAGTATCGGTATCCAGGGGTCCGTAGCCATGGTTTAATAGAGAGCAACTTCTCCTGGTCTCTGCAAGCCCAGGGCTACAAGGAAGACACGTGTGACGTGACGGCTGCAGCCGCGGCCGAGTGCACCCTCTCCGTGTAAATGCACCCTGCGCGCGGTGTTCAGAGGGTCAGGGCAACCCCCAGCCTGCCGA